CTGCGCAGGGCCAGAAGGTTAAGAGTTCACCGCGAAGAAGACATACAGCCTTCATCTTCACGACCCCCAACGACCACCAAGAGGAGGCACTGTGCAAGGCACAGTTGGGAAGAACTTGGGGAAATGACTTCTTGGAACTAATTTTAATATGAAGTGGGGATATGTCATGCCTATGTATAGGCATATTGCAAAACTCTATGTATATGTCACACTTGACTGTATAAATTTGAAGCAAACTGCCGAGTCAGGCGCGCACGACTTTGGTGGGACTACCCCCCGTGCTGCCCAGCGCTGAATGAACATACCTACTTTACAATCTCACTGACTGTGGAGTCTGTTTCCGCACGTCAAGAGTAGTCTATTATAGTGAAGTTACACATTTGAGAAATGTAAGTGATCTAGCCATAAGTAGTTATTGCTATATTTTTTCATTACATGGTCATCTCGTTCTTCTTTGGGTATCTTTTTGTTTGCTGTACAATTTTTATTTAAATTAGGTATCTATAGAAAAGTCACAGCATTATCAATCTTCTGTTTTCAGTAAGTTTTAATAAACCAAGCAAAAAATGCTTTCTGTTTTCTAAAAACCCAGCTGGCAGTATTATAGCCACAGTCCTAATTTCACACAGGTTTAGCAATTTTCATATGACAGTTAAGAACAACAACAACAACAAAAAGTACTTCCTATACTTTTGGGTGGACATAAGGACATAAAAACTTGGTATTCTACTCACAAAAAGCTTAAACTGTGATTTTATTTCAGTTCAGAAGTGCTTTTTCAGTGCTAGGCAGACCAAATTCTTACAAAATATTCACTTACAATTAAATGGAAATGGGAAGCCATTGCAAAATGGAAAGACCACTGACCATAAGTTATGATTATAAGTCAATGCATATAGGTGCAGACACTCAGCAATATTATAGATATTCTTTTAAAAAAAAAAAAATTATTATTCAGAAAAATCAAAATCCCACCTTACTATCACTCCAGTATCCAAAGATATCTGACTTCACTTATTACTCATGACTATTTCTCTAGTTGTGAATGACCATTGTTTCTTCCTCCCCATATTCCAGGAAACTCCCCAGTGATGTTGTTCTTGTCTAACAGATATTGCCAAGAATTCACATTCACTAATGAGAATTCTATAAAATAATATACTTTGGTTCAAGGATCTCTCAGCTAAAAGGACTATACGTAGGATGACTGGCTTTTGTTTTTCTCCTAGTTTCCAATGTACATACCTCTCTTATCACTTGTCACAGACAGCACCTTTTACTTTGTCATATACAGTAGCAAGTGAAAAGTTGGCCATAATATACATTAATTTTAAATCTCCAATTCTTAGAAGACTAGTTAACCTTTAACTAGCAATATGAGCTTTTTATCTTAACATTTAAGAGTTAAAAAGCAGTAATAGCAAAAGAACCTTTGGGTTCTTAAGCTATTGTATCTAGGCAGTAAAGCGTGCATTTGAAAGCAAAATATATTTCAGCAAGGCTGATAAAATATCATATCCCAAACAGGAAAAACACTACTGCCTAACTTGAGGGTCTTATTTTAAATTGCAGCTTAGACTTTGAAAGCCAGTCCTCATCTACTCCAAAATACTAAGCAGCCCCAAGAATTCAGGAGACTCAGGAGCAGGAAAGTAACAAGGCAACACTGCCATGCATCTTGCCTGCTTACAATGAATATTCCCCTACTTTACAACATAACTCAACAAGCAACTTGTTTCTCTGTAACTTCCTCTCCAGTATGCATGAAATAAGGAGGCTTTACGACATTCAGAAGACACAGAGGCTCCAGGAGGCACTGTTACTCAAAACACCATAGATTTTGAGCAACAAACATAGCTTACCAAATACTGATGAGTAAATTTAAGAGCTTGACTACTAAGAAGAGACGACTCAAAAAGTTTATTACCTGGGATAGGTGCAGAAAGAACTTATATAGGGACAGGTAACTGGACAAGAATTAGCTACATTTACAAATTGTGTCACCTCAGCAATTACCTGTGTACCATGTTAACCTGTCCCAACTGCAGAGTAGAACACCTTAGCTTACACCTCGAACAAATGACAAGCTTACACCTCAAACAAACAACAAATTTAAGCCTAATTACTTAAGCTTTTGAGAGTCTTTTGCCTCACTGAGAATTTTGCTCTTCTGAAACAAACCCAGAACACACAAACAAGATCAAGAACTGCCTGGAATGGACAACAGGGCAGGGAGCTTCAACACATCGTAAAACAGAAACAAAATCTCACTCTTTTACTATGGTAAAACTGAAGTATTATCAAATTCAGTTACTTGATATGAAACAGTAGATACTAAATTCTTACAAATCTCTAACTGGAATCTCAATACCCTTCTCCTTCATAACATCCAATGGCCAAGGAGCTAGAAAGACATAACATCATCCACAAAATTCACCAGTAATGGTGTTGACCAAATTTGGTTTCGATGCTGATACTTTTTTTTTTTTTTGGCCAGGAGGGACTGGAGGGCACAACACATTAATCAAGGGTGAAGCGTCAACATGCATGACACATTCTTCAGTCCTGCCATAACCTCAACAGTGAGCTGTAAAGCTCCTGTCCAGTGCTTTATACCTTCTGACTGTCCGTGCTATTGTGGTGGGTTAACTCCATCCCAGACAGACCCAGTCTATATCTTTAAAAACATATCCAATAGGATACAGTGACACCTCACACACATACTGGAGCAGTTTGCGAAGAACTGCAGCCTGTGGGAAGAACCAACGTTGGAGAAGTTTGTGAAGGACTATCTACTGTGGGTGGGACCCCACGCTGGAGCAGGGAAATAGCATGAGAAAAAAGGAGTGGCAGAAACAAAGTGTTATGAACTGACCACAACCCCCATTCTCCATCCCCCTGCACTGCTCAGGGGGAGGAGGTGTAGAACTCAGGAGTAAAGATAAGCCCAGGAAGATGGGAGGGGTGGGGGAAAGGTGGTTTTAGATTTGTTCTCATTTCTCATTATCCTACTCTGATTTTGTCAGCAATAAATTAAATTCATTTCCCCAAGTTTGAGTCTCTTTTCCCTGTGATGGTAATTGGTGAGTGATCTCCCTCTCCTTATCTCGACCCATGAGCTTTTCGTTGTATTTTCTCCCCTGTCCAGTTGAGGAAGGGGTGACAGAGCAGCTTTGGTGGGCACCTGGCATCCAGCCAGGGTCAACCCACCACAGCACAGAGCTGGGAGGTACAACACGAGACAGGTTTCAATTTCTACTTGAGCTGAAGGAGAAGTAAAAGCCTGGTGCAGAGATGCAGATGCTGTTCCGTCTCTGTTGACTGCTTTAACTAGTGAAATATTAGGAGTTAGAATTTCTATAAAATATCACTAACTGATGCTAAAAATGATGCCTTTATCTGTATGTTTTCAAACATGAACCAGGAGAGCATTGTCATTAGCTTACTAGGTTTTCAAGCCTTTTTTTCAAGTGAAAAGAGCAACTAGAAGTCTCACAAAGCTTTTCACAGTATCTACTTCACAGTATATTCCAGCTGGATGAGAAGCTGATCTATTCCACCTATAAACAGTCAACTTTCAAAGTTAATCAGCAATATTGATCTTCATCCAGCAACGCTATAATCAGCTAGGGAGATGTACAACATAACGTATTAACACTTTTTTTTTTTTTTTAATTTCTGTCTGTTACAGTACTTGAGCAATTAAATAGACTTTTCTGGGAATTTTTTTTCCCACAAAGATGTCTAACAGCATGATGCATTTTGTTACAATTCAAGCATCATTGTTAAAACAAAGGAAGGAACTGGGGTTTAAAACCTCATCTTTCTCTGATAACTACCCACAAATTCTGCAGCTCCCTTGCTTTTATTTAAAAAGAGCCTCTGCCATTTATTTCAATGGGACAAATATTCCACATGTGCCTTCAAGGTTACAAAGGAAAATTTCTAAAAAAAGAGCCGTAAGTAGGCTGATGCAGTGGGATCTGCCCATATTACTTACTTACTGACTGTAGAATCCTACAATTTAGGACATTTATGTAAATAACATTCAGGTAGAAAACAAGATTTTTTTTTATTTTTTTTTTTTCCCCCAGATCTTAAACTTCTGTACATACGAAACAAAGGTCATGCATTTTAACTGCTAACCACTGAAGCTCCCAGATTCTCACTCTCTGCAATTAAAAACAAAGACATGAATATCCAGCTCTCAGAGCTATAAAAATAAATTTTCAAAACCAAACTGATAACAGCACTGGCTTCCCAAATGTACATGAAGATATCTTTAGTGCTGTCCTTGGTGTTGACAGCTCTCCTGAATAGCAGCTAAGTGAAAATAAGTCTGTCAAGTATCTTTGTTGTTCTCAAAAGGCTGACTTCATAACACTGACAAGAGTCATTCCAACTTGAGTCTGCTGCTCAAGAAGTCTGTATGTGGCGTAAACAGAGCTATTCATAAGGATGGGTGGTTAAAAAATAAAGAGGCTGCAAGAAAGGTAGACAGCATTATGGGACATTCCTGGAACAGGAGGGACACACAACACATACACAGAGTAGAAGGAAAAAGGCAGTGAACTACAAATACCTTTTGCCTTCCAGTAGCGGAAAGTGACAAAAATATGGAGAGTAACCAAAAAGCTTAATAATTTTAACAAGAAAAAAATCATATGAAAGGATGTACACTGTATGAGAACCCACAAGTAACACCCTGGAAGAGAAGGCGATATATATCACTTGCTTAAGCAAGTGAAATATAACACTGAGGATGACTATAGGCTGAACTTTTATGTGCTGCTCTGCCCTATCCTTGATTTTCTACCTATGAATTTTCTAGGCCTTAAATTTCTGACAGTGGAACAATCTACTACAACACAGTAGTTTTATCTTTATTGCCTACAGAATATTAACATGTATTCCAAAAGCATAAAAACCATCCTAAACCACAGTACACCAGAAAACAATTGCCTAGTAGAAATGGTTTTGAGCAAGGGTTAACATTCAACAGAAATAAGCAGACATTGTAGATTTTTTTTGTCCTGGAATGAGGACTTTATTCCATCAAAATATTGCAGTCACAGAATGGCTCTATCTCTAGGTCCAGAAGCAAGACAAACATCCCTATAATATATCTGAAGGACTTTACCTCATACTTCTCACTTGCAGCTTGAGAGTTTAAACATCCACAGACCTGAATTGGGCAGCTAGGTATGGTCTGTGCATGCACAAGAAACAGGAAAAGCTTTCAGGCTCACAGTCTTTTCATCAGCTCACACAGAAAGCAAAATAATTAGCATTTCAATTTAGGTGCAGCACACCTCAGATACAAGCTCTGAGAGCCTGGTAACTTCAGTGTTTAAGACAAAGTATACACCCAAAGTCTTATGCACTTACAGAATCAGACAGTGGCTCTACAAGAGGTTTAAAGACTGTAATTTTTGAGCTTTGCACTGAAAAATAGTGTAGTAGGAAGAACCTGACCATTAAAGTCTTTTTGTGAAAGCCTTGCATCTTTTTTCTCTAGGTTTTTTAAACTTTCATTATAATTAAAGAAAAAAAAAAATCTTAAATTATGTTTGGAAAAACACCTGAATTTAAACTCTCCGATTAGCTATATCACCCTTCAGTGCACACTGAAAATCATTAAGAAACCAGAGGCTGTAGTTGCAAGTGAAGTTACCACCACACAGCCACAAATACAGAACCTTTGACACGAACACCAGTGCAACGTGACTGAAAGACAGGATCAAAAGAAAAATAAGCCACATAGGAAAGGCAGATTTGTTCTTACCATCAAGACAATTCATCACTGTTCCTCCCCTTCCTCCATGCTTCTCTAAGCAACAGTAAATAGCCAAATTTTGTATGGCAATTAACACAGTGAAGCAGTACAAAGTTTCTAAAAGATTTCAGTACAAAAAGCTGCAGGTAGCAAGCTCAGTATGCAAAAATGTTCTCACAGACTGTCAATGTTAAACTAAAGATACCAACATGACTTATAATAGTCTAAAGCCCCAGGGAACGTTCTAGCCGTGGAAAACATCTTATTAGCCATGACTGATGGACCAAGTCAGCCTCCTGTTAGAACCAGAAATCACTCCACATACATTCTGAATATACAAGTTACTGAATTCTTTTGAGCAAGGAGAACGAACCTCTAGGATTCAGTGAAGATCAACTGAACTTTCACAGATTATAACAAATCAGAAGAAAACTCATTTTACTAGTAATGTAGTGATGTCCTATAGACCTCATATATCTGAGGCCACACAAGGAAAAGTAATATAAGGAAAATAGGGTAATGACAGTCAGAGTTAATATCTTGGTTTTTTTCCTCCCAGATCAAGAGAAACAAGCATTTTCTGGAAAAGGACAAAGAGATCACAAAGCAAGATTTTTCCCCATTGTCTTTATTTGATGGATAAGTCCACCATATTTTTTCTCCATCATGTCTAGTTCTCTAAAACATTACAATTCTGCTATTTCCTTCCAAAGAAAATCATCGAGACATATGTAAAAGGCAAAAATAAATTTAAAAAAACCCGAAAACCAAACTGAGCCCCTAATAGCACCCTAAATTACAAGATGCAAGACAAGCTTTACCACTTTTAGTTCATACTGCCAAAAATTCAAAATATGAATGAACTACTCTAGTTCTCACTACAACAAATGGACTATTCTTCTGTAGCCTCCTCTAAAACACAACTTTTCTTCAAGAACTAATGAGAGATTAGATTTGGAGCAGAAAAGCAAAGAAAACACAAGAAGTGAGGGCTAAATTGGAAAGATTACTCCTTTCTCTACAACCCAGAAATACTTCAGTGACACATGAAAATGACATAAAGGGGATTAATGTCAGTTTGGGAAAAGGAAGCTGTAGCAGTCGGTGGCATGAGGAGATTCCTTATCTAGCAAAGCAGATTCTACTTGAAGAGACATGTAAACTCATTCTCCAGATCACAGAATAAAACACATCATTGTGTAGACCTCTGGAGGAAACCTCACCAAAGTTTCATGAAGAATGAAGGAATGGCCAAAAGCATCAGCACCTTATTGATTTAGTCAGTCAAAATGGTAGATAACTGAAGCCCCTGTAAACACAAACACTAGGCAGTGCAATATTTGGGCTAACTGTGCAAGTTAAAACAATCATGAAATAGGTAATGCCTCACTTTAAATGCACACACATATGTAGACACAGCCATACACTCTTTGTATAGTTTATGCGAAATTTTCTCATAAGAATGAACGTTCACACCATTGAACAAAGCAGACAGTACAGAACTACCGCAAACTCAACCTACAATCATTCACAAGAGAAATCTTTTGTCATACAGCAGTCTTAATGAAATCAAGAGGGCCATTCATAAAGAACAAGACCTGTAGTCTACAATTTTTGTAATAGTCTAATCTTGTAACTTATGATTTTCTTGAGAATTCTCAGGAGGAGAAAACACCATGTCAGCTAACTAAAACAGAAGGAGAAACTGAGTCAGCAGTGTGACACATCTCATTCCCTTATCTGCAAGGCTTCAGCTTGCTGTTGCTGCAGATCTTCAGGCACTTATCTTCTAGAAATAAGTCCTACGCTATTCATACTCTTAATACCCCAGTTGGTACTTATTTTCACTAGAACACAACTAGAAGTCTCAAAAAGCCCCAACCCAACCCAAAATCTCCTTTACTAATTTCAGGTTAAAATTTACTAATCTGATATTGTGCAAAGGAGGCCACAATCAAGCGTTACCTGAGGAAAATGGATTCTTACACTGCCATTATCTCAACCACATTTCAGCTCTAGAAAGCAGTCACCCACGGCAAAACAGACCTCAAGAAGAGAGGGCTGCAAAGCAGATCCTTTCAGGACGTGAACTGCAACCACTTCAGAGAGCCAATCCAGCAATTACAAGAAGCTGAGACCTTTAAAACTAAGAGCTTAGATGTGTTAGCACAGGCGTATTAACAACAAAAATTTCTTCTCGGTATACTCAGTGCCTACAAAGGAAAGGGAAGATCATTTCTGATGCGTAAAGCGCTGTGTTTGTCAAAGCCGGGACTCAATTCCCGCAGCAGAGACCATGCGCATGGTAGCTCAGGTAGGGAAGAACGGTGCAAGGCACGACTGCAGGGCTCACAGTGGAAAGCACAGCCTAGCAAAGCGCCGGGGCGGCCAAAGGCAATGGCACCGGCTCAGCTCGCCGGGGCGGCGGCGACGGCCCCGAGGCCAAGCCGAGGCGGCGGGGTCTCCGGGCTACGAGAGACCCCCTTTCTCTTCA